TCCGACCACAGACGGACACCCATGGCCACCTGTTTTGTGCTATTTTAGCAACTCGTCAGCTTCGTATCGGTGAAAAACGAACGAAAGATGAGCACTCTACTCTAATCAAATATTTACTTCCATCTCAACCCTACTGTACTGCGTTTCTTCCATCCGCCCCGCCTGTGGTATGTCCCTTATGAATAATAATTTCCCACCTTCGCAACCCCGATAAAGATGTTCAACACCGGGCGGCAACGCCTTCTACACTGAATTTATTAGGCGTTTACAACGACAAGGAGAATTTTCATTACAAACTTTTAGGCGTTGAACAAAGTTCTCCGTGGCATTTAATCACCGCCTGCGACGGCGACGTTCCGTTGTCTTGAAAAGTTACCTGCCAATTACCAATTAATGACAATTTTTTGTTTTTTCTAATGTTTTAGTGACCTAGGATTCCATAGAAACTATTCTAAATGTTGTTGTAGAATACTCGTTCCCTCTCGATGATATTTTTAAACGCTTAACATACTCAGTGACACCACCAAAAAATAATATTCTTCAAACTTGATCTTTGGCAACGAGGTAGTCTTACATCAAAATGGAACGATAACATTCTCAGGAAATTTTATTGACAAGTAATAAGAAAAAATTGATAATGGGATCGACAAAATCAGATGATCGTTGTCAGATTGTGGCACATCTTCTAAGCAGTTTGACTTCCTGGATTAGCTATTATTCATTATTCGATGGGACTTAAATCCAGCAAAACATTGACGCCTGCTTCTTGGAGAAAGTCCGTAGTATGACGGGCAATAGGAGAACATGCGTAGTCTTGATGAAAAAGGACGTATGGACGGCCCTCTAGATACCGCAGTGAAGTGGTTTGTAAGATATCATCTACATAACGCGCAGCAGTCATATTGCCTTGAACAAAGAGAAGGGTGATCGGCTACCATAGGCAGTAGACCCCCAAACTATTACTCCAACAGTCCTGTGTACCTGTCTCTCAACAGAAAATTCAATCACGTCACGCCGTTCTGAACGACGGCGTCTTACCCTCCTACGATCATCGTACGTACGTAGACAAATTCGCGATTGGTCGCTGAAGATGACATTATGCCATTCTGCCTCCCAATGTTGCCGTTCTCTGCTCCAGTTTAAATGTTGACGACAGTGGTCCGAAGTCAGAGGAAGCACTAACCGTGGACGGTATGGAAAAAAGCCCAAAGGCTCGAATACAGCCATAGAGAGTACATATAGTAACAAGTCTACCCTCTTCTCCAAACCATCTAGTACGCCTTGGTGCACCAGTTGGGATTCTTCGTGTTCCTCTACCTGCTTCTATCCGCACACGATACTCACGCATTACCGTCATTGCAGTACAATTAACTTAGCGGGCCGAGTCGCGATGGGTCAAACCAACATTTCGGTATGCAATAATTCTACCCCTACCAAAGTCGCTAACATGGTGATAGTTTGAATGTCTTCGAGCTGGACGCATTTTGCTATACTTAACACTAGTAAATGACAGGGCAATAACTAAAAAAATGTATATACTATAAACTATAACATTTTAGCAAAGGTAAACAAAAACAAAGATAAAACGTTGGCATCAGTGCCACAGTATGCTTTAAATACAGGGTGTCCGTAAGATTGGGGTTTTCCTTTTCAGACACAACTACACTTGATATAACAAAGCTAATGTGTGAATGAAACGTGAGCGACAAGTAAAAAAATGAAAAAGTACTCACTGTTCAGCTTGAATTGAATTGAAATTCCAAGTCGACGGCTCTGCTGTAAAATCCGTATTTACATCGTAGTCGTACGTCGTACTACTGTACGCTGGCGCTGGCGCTGTGGAAGTGATCGAGGGCTGGGACAGGACCGGCTTCGGTGTGGTTCAGGTTTGATTGAGGTTGCGGAGCCCAATATCTCGGTTCTTTTAAGACATTGGTGTATATGCTATTAAGAAAATCAAGCTTATTTCCTCAAGATCTACACGTCGTGTAAAGGAAACCCAAACTTTGCCGACACCCTGTATAGTCATTACGTTGCCTAAAAGTTGAGTAATTACTTATTCTATGTGTAATACTTCTAATGTCACTGCGTGTATATCACTATACTATGAATAGTGGATCGTAAGCTGGTGTGGATTCTAAAATGGATAGATCGGTCCGTTACTTTAGGCGGCATACAGTGGCGCTCCTACAAAGAACCTATTTGTCACTCTTGAAATGAGGGTACAGAATAACTGAGAGAAAGTGGGCGTGATTATATTACCTTTCAGGTAATTATACTCATAAACACTGCTAGGAGAGCCGCATTCCGTATAATTGTCAGGAGGAAAAGCGTGGGGTGCTTGGTGTTAGTCCCATCTCTTCAAGATTGGTCCTGTTCATATAATGTAGCGCTACTTTAGCGATCACTTTGAGCGCTTTTTAGAAGCGGGCCTAACCGCTGAACGGTGTTTTGCTGCATATTAGTTTTCGGATATAAAATTAAAAATGAGGGCCCCTTAGATTAACTTTGCACTTCCTACGTAACGCTGTCATCAGTTGATAAGGATTATGTTCGGCACAAGTTGGCCCCTCTGAGAAAAAAGTTGAAGAACATGTATAACAAATAAATCAAACGGATCAAGTTGATCAAACAGAGTCATACAATTAAAATTTCATATTTTCCACTTTTTTGTGCATTTTGGGGATATTTAGGGTGTGATTTCCTATGAGAATATGCTCTCCCTCGCCCTTCAAAGACTGTTGGAGGCTGTTATCCTTTTACACAAAAGTTATCTCTTATCGATGGATGACCCTCCACTTCCCCTGAGAAAAAATTCTGCGGAACTATACAGGGTGACTTCGAAGTTGAGTCATTTATTTTAAACGTGAGTAGATCTGATCAAAATAAATGTTTTTTTTCCTTTAACATTTTTCTGGTAAAATTAAAGTAACAAAGTTATAGCCCTTTCTAAAGTGATTGCTGCGTCATAGTTAAAAAAAAGACTGTGCTGCGTTTGTGTGTTTGGATCATGTCTTGGTGTTCCTGATAAGGAAACTCAATTCAACGATGGCTTCAACAGACGAAGACGTCATCCAGTCGCTGGTAGCAGAATTGGTAAAGGCCTTGCAGTCCCAAAGGGCCCTATTTTAGACCCGAAATAAACGAATCCAGTAAATGGGTAAGTCAAACTGAAGTCATCAAGCATGAAGTTGGATGGTCTGACGTTCAAACTCTGACAAGGATTGACCGATTTTTATTGAGTGGTGCAAAGAGATGGTTCGAACGTTGGAACCCAGACAACAGGGATTGGGCTACTTTTCGAGTTGACTTTGCTGAGGCGTTTCCTCCTAAAAGAAATTTGGGTGGTTTGTTGGAGGTGGCAGCAAAATTTAACAGTTCTTTTGTCAACTCATATGAAAGTTATGTGCATGAGAAATCATCTATGCTTAAAAATTTACGTGCAAATGGTGCGAAAGTGATTTGGTCGAACTCATTGTTTACGGAATCTCTGAAGTAGAAGTGCGCAATGCTGCAATGAATGCTAACTGCAGAACTATTTCTGAATTATTGGTTTTCTTGTCACCTTTTGTCAAGCCTTCGTGCAATGACAGACAAAAGATAGCCGAATGTGATTCTCCTTCTCTCAAAAGGAAATATTCATCTGTTGACAAAGCAAAAGGTGGTTTTATTAAAAACTCTAAGAAGTGTTTCCAGTGCGGAAAATCTGGACACGTTAAAGCAAATTGTGTGAAGAAAAGTAAATTGGTATCAGACGATAGTTACAATTCCATAGGTCAGCGTGACTTACCAAGCACATCTCATAGTTCTGAATTTGTAGTTTTTGTGCTGAGAAAGGTCACAGCGTATCGAATTGCTTTAACAAATCTGCTACTGATAAACGTCGCAACATAAACTTTTTTTCTAGCGGAAATAATTGATGGTTATCATTTTCCTGTTTAGTTGATACTGGAGCTGATTTATTATTGATATTTGTTAAGTTCCTCTACTTATTTGATAATAAGGTTGTTAGCTGCAATGTTATTTTGAAAGGACTAGCTAACGTTACCATTAAGGCTACAAAGAAGTTTGCGGCTTGTGCGAAAATTTCTGGTGTTGATATTCCGATGTATTTTATTTTTGTTTCCGGCGAGTGTCTCGATTATGTTTTGGTGGGGCGTAATATTTTTTAAGTTGAAAGTCTCGCCACCATAACAGATCAACAAGGACCACGCATTCTGCGACGTCAGCTGCCTAGTATAAATCGCGTTTCAAAAGATTTTGGTGCTTTAGTCACAGAAGTTGAAGTACCTGAAGAACATCGCGTAGGTCTTGAAGTTATACTGAGAGATTTTAGTGACATGATTACAACAGGCAATAAAGTTTGTGCAGTGAATAATGTCAGCCTGAAAATTCGCCAATGAAAAGGATGCTGTTCGTCAATCGTTTAGGCCTACTCCGCTTTTTCCATGATGAGCAGTGTCACGAGGGACCTGAAAGACATACGAGTCTATCGCTCAACATTTTTGGTTTCCGAGGTTGAGAAACTTCATCAAATGCTACATCAAGCACTGTGTAATTTGTGCAGTGAAAAAAAAAAGACAAGAACAGGTCCTCTGCAGGGATTCATACGACCAGTGGACATACCGAAGGAGCCATTTCATACGTTGCACATGGACTTTTTGGGTCATTTACCAGCTTCAACTGATGTTTATAAGCACGTTTTGCTAATGGTGGGTGCTTTTACTCTACGTACTGCATTTTGACGCTTATGAAGTCTGTGACAACTGCAGAGACGCGTGAAAAGCTGCATATGTTCTAGCGCTGTTTGGAACTGCCAAACGAATAATAATGGACGCTGCCACGTCATTTAAGAACACCACGTTTCCAAAGTACCTGGATCGATGGGGCATCGAATACAATTTTGTAACACCAGATGTGCATAGGGGAAATGGACAGGTGGAACGCTATATGCGAACCATTAGAAATCTTATGAGAGTTGAAACCCAAATAAGGACAGAATGACCGAACGGATCATGGAAGATTCAACTATTCTCAACTCGGCTATGCAAAAATCCATAAATCCAACTCCTTTGCAGATGCTTTTGGGTATCCGAAGCTCGATTCCGATGATACAAGCTGTGGTGAAAGATGTGTCTAAGGATCTAGCTCCTTTGCGCAACCGAGATTTGGATCAACAGCGATTAGAGAAAAGGCTATTCGTCGCACAAAATTACAATACTGTGAACAAAAAAGAAGGGACAAAGAGCAATTTTCAGTCGGTGATTTTGAACTGATGCACCGGGACTCTTAGGTGCACATAAGCAACAGCGACTATGAGTTTCTTGGTCCTTATGAAGTAGAAATTGGACGTTATTAGATTAAGAAGTAAGGAACAACCATCATAACAAAGGCAGCTAAGGAACAGCTACAGCTGTACAGTGGTCCTCCAATGTTGATATGGGAGATATACTTGAGTTTCTGGAGACTGAGGAAGAACCACGTCAGTAAATTTCTGGTTCCATTCTGCGATGTGCTGTCTTGCTTAATGTTGGTCTCCATCTCGTCAGAGTAGAGCCAAATGGAGACCGAGATCTCCATGGAAACTGCAACTTGGTCTCTGTCTTGTCAGTAGTAGATCCAGCTGAAGGCTGCGGTCTTCAAGGGTGTTGTAACATGGTCTCTGTCTCGTCAGTAGCACAGCCAGCTGAAGGCTGAGGTTTTCAGGGATACTGTTATTTTGGTCTCTGTCTCGTCAGCAGCAGAGCCAGCTGAAAGCTGAGGTCTTCAGGGATACTGTTATTTTGGTCTCTGTCTCGTCAGCAGCAGAGCCAGCTGAAGGCCGAGGTCTTCAGGGATACTGTTACTTTGGTCTCTGTCTCGTCTGCAGCAGAGCCAGCTGAAGGCTGAGGTCTTCAAGGATACTGTTATTTTGGTCTCTGTCTCGTCAGTAGCAGAGCCAGCTGAAGGCTGAGGTCTTCAGGGATATTGTAAGATTGGTCCTTTGTCTTGTTAGTAGTAGAGCTACTAGTACTGAAGTTTAAGAGTTGTTATTTAATGAGACGGTCGTCGCCGTCACTGTTAAAGGTTTATTTAATTGAATTTAGGTGCAGTTCTGTAATCGAATTGTTAATTTTGGTCTTAGTACCGGTAGTCGTTGATTCAGATTTGAATCATATTTGTGAGATAATAGATGTGGCAAGTACACGGAGTGTTTTGCGTATGCTTTTGATTCACAGATTCGGCCTGTGGTGCAGAGGACGTCGAGAACGTCGCAGCCGTCAGGAAGGGCCGTGTAAGAAATGAAAAATTTTGGCGAAGCCGCTGCCGGTCACGAAGGGGTTTTGCTGTGTAGTTGCTGCTCTGTGGTAGCTGAGGGAACGACGATCGGCCGCCGACTTTGGCAGAGCGAGCTGTGCACATCGTGCTCCCATAACCTGCCGCTACAAAATTACGTTAAATCGTTGTGCTATTATTATTGTTGGTAATACAAGTTGCTTGGTGGAAAATTAGTGTTTGACGATCCGTGTTTCTAACAATATATATAAAAATATTTAGTCATAATTTTACCGTTTTGTAGTATAACACGAACCTCTAGTAATTTAATGACTGAATAGAGTTTTTGAGATAGTTTCATACTCGTAAGTTATAGTTTCGTTCTTTCCCTTTGTTTTGCCTGTTTTTTCATAAATTTTGAAGTTTTCTATAACGTTCTATATCGGCTAACAACACATCTAGATCGCTTTCAAACTGCGCAAGACATTTAACTCCATGAAAAAGTATTTGACGCCTCACCTGATCAAGAGCGGCACGGTTATAATGTAAAAAGCCTAAAAAACGTTACAAAACGACGAAATATCATTTCGCAGACTAGGTAGTTTTTAGTGTGCATTCCACGTTTGCTCGCTATGACCGCTAATCGCTGGCGTTTAAAACAACACGTACAGCTACAAAACGAGTTCACAAGCGTACAACAGCTTATGCTAGTTAACATCTTGTAGAAAAACCTACGATATGTCGCAAAAAACCTACGAAAAAATAGACAAAATATCACTTTTCAAGTTACGTAATACCCATGCGGCGTCATATGCATTCTTGTTTGTTAACGTGAACAATCAACCACCCATTCGTGTTAATTTTGATAGGAGTTCAACATCAGTCATTGAATAACGAATGCTTCAGTTAATTGCGAACGCTGAAAAGTACCGAGTGCATTCAGCTAACGTAAAGAAGCGCAGCGCTTTCATGCTAAAGTAGGGCATAACATACACATCAGCTCAAATGTGGTTCGACCACCCAGGTGAAACAAATTCATTACTTGTAACACCGGATATCTCAGAGTTTCTCTAGCAATGTGCCTAGCCGAAGATGGACTATTCTTAACCACCAAAAAATAATGTATGCTCCCCGCCTACTCGCGAAGAAAATTTTCGAACATAATATATTACGTTTTTTGGATGTTATATGAGATGTACATCACGAAAAACCATGTAATTTCCGTCGGTCTGTTTGCCCGCCAATTTTATGACCGCCTATAACTTGAAAAGTACATTTCGATTTTGATGAAATTTTTTCACAATGGCAGCAGGGAAAAGACCTAAAACAAAAACAAGAATCACTCAAGCTTCGTTTTTGAAGTTTCAGAGGATTCGGCTGATTTAAACAAAAATTAGAGGGAAAAAGACTTAGGGTTGGGGGGTGTAAGGGTGAGGGGGACTGTTTCTCTCAATTTTTTGAGGCTGGTTCGTTTATACGCTCCCAATTTTGGTAATTCTACGCACCTATTAGACATTCACACATCATAGATTTCTCTGCACATTAGCCCTAAAAAATATCTCGGGAGAGCTTTCGCGTAGTTATCGGGCGCAGCTATCATATTTTATATGGTCTCTCCGCGCTACCACGATACCACGTCTGACCGAGTGACGTAACGGGGAGCGGGACGTGACGAGACGCACTACCGGTAGGTCAGGGAAATCATGTCTATAGATTAATAACTGTATGGACCTGTTTGACTTACGGTTTTCTTCAGAGGGTCCAGCTTATGCTCAACATATTCCTTTTTGTACTGATAAGGGCGTTGCGTGGGAAGTGCAGAGTGTGCCATTCTTTGAATTGGTTGGGTTAAGTTGAAAAACGCTTTTAGCGACACTTGCCTTTTTTATACTTTGTATAAATAAAGCCCGATTATTATTATTATTATTATAGATAACGCATCAGCATTTTGAACATTATTCCGTTCATGATACATTATGATATAGTCATAAATAAATAAGGCTACAGCGCAACACTCATATATTGACAAGTATTCATGTTTTGTCTTTATACAGTCTCATCAGAGGCGTAGAAATGTACAGCATTCTGTATCTCGACCTTGAGACATTTTAGAACATATGCTTATAGGAGATTTCCTATTATTTTTTTATACACTTAAGCCCTCGAAATGTTTCCATTGTTTTTTTAGTCACCTTGTAAACGAAAATCTGTGTTTCAAGTACAAATTGTGCTGCCGGTAGTCAGGGTCAAATTTCCATATCAAATAATTTTGTATTTAAACGGCAAAGGGAAACCTGCTGGACATTTGATTTTCCCGTGTTTCATACTCAACATTCATACCCAACTGCTCGTATATCAAAAGTCTCTCATATACAAATGTTTTGATCATACTGAAGTAGAGTAAATAGTTTTGCGTAGATGTGCACTTATAACACTGTTTATGCAATAGTAATGAGCGCTGTGAGCAATATACACGGTACACATTATCGTTGATTAGCAGTGTAAAGCAGTGACGGATTTATTGGCTCTCGAAATAATATTGCTGTCATTTGGTATTTATTATAGAGGATATTGTGTGATATATCAAGCTTTTCCAAAAAGTTCCCCAATGCTTATTGAAGGGCTCAAGTTGACAAATTATAATGATGCGTGGAAACTACATCTTAGCCTAAAGGTAGCATATAAGTGATGGATCCTTAGAGTCTTACCACCCGCTAAAGCGACTTATTAAACACTGAACTGAACCTTAAATATTACTAATATATATGTTACCGACCATCTGTATAATCCGGTCACAGTACCTAGTAACGTATGTAAAAGACGAGAGCAAGAAACGGGTTGTACGTACCGACAGGCAGGCAATAAACGTGTTGCGAAAGAAAACTTACATTATGTTACGTATTGCCAGACTAATTTTAGTTTCACGTTAATTTTACTGTGATTTTACTATAATAACATAAAGTTGATCATGTTGTACCCTTTTCATATCCAATCTACAATTCAAGGGTTAGTATTGAATATGTGCAGCGTAAGGCTTCACAGTATTTGTATTACAAATGTTATGGCAATTATCCTGAAAGAGGTTTCGACCATTCTATTTTATTAAACATTTTTTGCATCATTGCATCTTAGACGCGATATATCAGCGCTACATCTTTTATACAAAATCATACGCAATCAAGCTGATTGTTCATTCATATTAAGTAAGCTTAATTTTCGTGTGCCTAGGTTGGGTTGGTGTTCAAATCACTTTCTATCCGGTTATTGGTAATACTAATTTAATGTCTAGATCTCCGGTAAATATAATAATAATAATAATAATAATGTCTTTATTAATCCCTCCAAACTGCGAGGTGAAGTTTAGCCAGCTGGCTACTCTACCACTTAACCTCACAGCGCAGGAACACATACAAAAGAAAAACATAACAATGAATAGCAATCGACTAAATAATATACAATAATTAAGCTTAAATAGATTAATCTTAATATGTTGTACATCTATTCCACATAGCCCGCTCTAACAAAAAAAAAACAATAAAGACAAAAAAAAAATAATCAGCCAGCTTGGCTAGCAGACCCCAGAAGGCGGTTTTTAATGGCTCTCTTGAAAGCAAGTATTCCCATCTTTTTGTAATTTTCATTAAGACTATTGTACACCTTGACAGCGTTGTAAGTGAAGCTACGATGGAAAGTGTTGCTCCTATAACTAGGTATATGGAAGTCAGAGTTATGTCTCAGATTCCTGTAATTGAGATCCCCACGTGGTACCAGTCTTTTTAGTAGATAAGTAGGTAGCCTATTGATTTTTATTCGTTGTACTAAAATTAGTAAGTTATATGTGAAAAGCTGGTCAACCCTCAACCATCTAAGCTCATTGATCTTCTTAGACATGATGATCTATGATTTGTACATGTTTCAATTCTGTTTGCAGTTCCTGTGACTTATTTTTTGATAGTGAGAACTTTGTTATGAAGTGCTACAGAGACTGGTACCTTTGTCAGTGAGAGTTTGTTTTTTCTTT